AATTATAATGTTTGCTTTTACTCATAATGCTGCATAATAAATATTCCATCCTCCAGACCTATCATTTCCTTATACATAATTTCCAGATATATGATCTTTCCACTCTTTCTGATTTTTAAATAACTGCACCAGAATAACCATTTGTATACATGTGCCTTTGCCCTTACTTTGGGTATTTTCCCCAGGCAATTATTAGACTCCCAGAAGTAGGCTAACCGGGTTGAAGTGGACTAACTTCTCTCTGAATTATATGGGGCTCTGAGTGCTTTTATGGAAGGGATGCTTCCCCCATTGCAGCTGGGAGTCGTTTTTATGCAGGAAAGTGGGTGATTTTTGCATAGCTAGTTTACATCCAGCTGCTAAGGGATTCTGGTTGATAACATAACAAGGAGTGTCCCAAGGGTGAGGGTGGCTTTAGCGTCATTCTTATTATCTGTTAGCTTTGTTCCCAAACTATGCCGAATAAGCATCTAAGCTCTCCGTGCTTGTGCTGTAAACACAGCTCCGGATGAGCCCACAGCTAGCAAGAGGAAGACTCCCCCAATCCATCACTGCCTGACCTTGCAGGCAGCCATGGTGGGGGATTCTTTTATTAACACAAGACCTGCAAGTCAGTAATTCTTCCTCTTCCTTCCCAATAGCTGTAAGTCATTAACAGCTTCAAAGCGTCTAGAACCCCTTTCCACTGTCATGGCAGATGATGTCTTTTTTTCTCATGTTAAGAGGATTATGTCTAAACTTAATTAGATATGACTCAAGATGTTTACTAGGCAAAGGGAGTCTTTATGAAGTGGAAAAGGATCTTCTTTTCCTAGAGCATTGTTTCTATTTCCAAAACGGACTTTTGTTTTCCCAGCCTGATTCAACGATGGTATAGTTTTACTTTGAGAGTGGGGGCCAGTTAGAAAAGATGGGGTGGAGGAGATGAGGCGGCGGCAATGCGGTGAGTGTGAGGTGTGAATCAGCGGGGCCCTACCCTTCCTCTCCAGGACATTGGCCAGGATCGCACGCGAGTACGCTGGCTGCAGCCCAGGGAGCATGAGTGTGGCTTTTCTGATGGGCACGCCTTTGGAAACAGCGTGGGTCTGTTCTCCTAAACAAAATCAAAGAGCCTGCTGAGACTCGCAGTAAGAAACTCCCAAAGAGTGTTTCTAAGTTCAGCTAAGAACAGCAAGGCCCCAGATTGTCTGAAATTGGCCCTGCGTGGCAGGCATGGTGGATTGCTCCTAACAGCTCCTAACACACCACAAAGCAGGAGTGACCCACCAGGAAGGTTGCCCCAGGATGGGAGGCTCCTTGGGGACCCAGGGCTTTCAGAACTCTGATCTGGAAAGTCCCGTGGCTATCATTCAAGGATGACTTTGAAAGGCACAAAGCTCTTACATCTCAGGGTAGACTAAGAGGTCACCAGTGGTGTGTGAATTTAAGTACTTCTTTTTCCGAGCTAAACTCAACTTTGGCAGGGCTCGAATTAAAAAGGAAAGAGTGTCACCCACCTTTCAGATTGTTCTTTGTCTCTGACCATTTATAGCTGCCCTAAACAAATCAAGACAGCAGGCCTCACCAAAAATAGGGAACTTCAAAGTGATTCCACCCTTTTGTAAACAATGCTTCCCACAGTCCAAACCCCTGGCAGGAAATACTAAGTGCATGTGTCCCTTTGTTCTGTGATCACCAGCAGGGCCTTGGTCTCCAGGGCGTCCCTTCCTCCTGAATTCTCAGACGAGTGTTTAACAGAAAATAGGTAGTGATCCAAAATGCCACTAGCTCGGCAAAATCAGGTTCTTGCTCTTATCTCACAGAATTAGAGTATTTCTGGCTCGGGTGAACACTTCTCAAATTTTACTGTGCATATCGATCACTCCAGGGTGTTTCTGAAATGCAGATTCTTATTCTGTAGATCTGAGGTGGAGTTCGCTTGTTAATCTAAGCAACATTGGTTTATAACATTTGTAGGTTTCAGGCAATCCAGCTTCACACGTCAACATCTGCATATACTACCTGCTGCCTGCCACCAAGGCCAGTTTCCATCCACCACCATATAATGGACCCGTTTTGCCCCATTTACCCATCTTCTTCCCCCTTTCCTTGTGGGAATCACTATTTTTGTTCTGTAGTCTGAGTTTACTTTAGTTTTGCTTCGTTTGTTCATTTGGTTTATCTACCACATATGAGTGACGTCAGATGTGTTTGTCCTTCTCTGTCTGACTCATTTCACCAAGCACAATACCCTGTAGGTCCATCCATACTGCTGCAAAAAGAATTTTGTAGCATAATCTTCAACACATTTTTTTCCATTGCATATCACTATTACCTAAAACAACTGTGAATGTGCACTCAAAAATATGTATATTACTTATATTTTAAATTCATATGGCAGAATAGCATAATTTTATTTCCATTTAAAAAATCAATACGAGGGCCTCGCTGGTGGCGCAGCGGTTGAGCGCTGGTTTGCGAGGCTGTCCGTGGCCTCTGCGGCACTGGTTCGATCCCCGGCTGCTCCCCAGCCACTGGAGGAGGGTCCCGCATGGTGCGCAGACCTCTCCTGCCGCCCGCTGCTCCCCTCAGCAGTGTACTTCAGTCCTTCTGCCTGCTCTGCTCCCCGCTCTGGCTCTGGTGAATTCTCTCACCCTCCCGCGCTTCTGACTGTACCCAGTGTTTGTATAAGTAAATAAATAAATCTAAAATAAATAAATAAATATTTAAAAAAAAATCAATACGAGTGCTAATCTTCCAGCACAGCATCAATTCAATCTACACACAGCCCATTCTGAAGACCATTGATCCTGAGAAGACACCCATTATTTTCACAGTCACTGGGTGCTTGCATTTCTCCAGGCATAAGAAAATCACTTTTTCCAGGGGACCTAGTTTATATTTACATAATGAATTATTAGAAAATTCTTTCTTCTACTGGTGAAAAGGTTTACCTTTGCACAAACTTCCTAATGAAAAGGAACACTGTAGCTGGATGGATCAGAAACCAAAACCCAGCTTTTTTCTGTCTCCAGGAGACCCATCTGAGGTCCAAAGATAAACATAGATTCAAAGTAAATAAAAGCTTGGAAACCAAGTCTACAAGCAAATTGTACCCAATAATAGGCATGGACAGCCACACTTATATCAGATAAAATAGACTTCCAGCTAGGGATCATGCTCAGCAAAATAAGCCAGAAAGAAAAAGAAAAATACCAGATGGTCTCACTCATAGCAGGAATTTAGAAAACCTAAATAAGGGACCAGGAAAAAGACTAATTATAATAAAGTAAAAATCAAAATCAACAAGCAACTATAAACCAGAGACACACTACAGTGGTGGGGGGGAGTAGAATCAAAACAAAGGGGGGTGGGAATTGACAACGCATGCATTGTGGAAAAATGAAAAATGATGTAAAAAATAAATAAAATTTTTAAAAAGCTGAGTACACACTCAAGTGCACATGGAACTTTCCTGAGGATAGACCACGTAGGTCACAAAACAGGTGTCGATTAACTCCATAATAGAAAGCAAAGCAAAGTGTTTCATCGTTCACTTTATTTAAGTCATCATCTTCAGCTAAACCACCCATCTTGATTATTCATTTAAAGTTAGCCAGTAGTATCTTCACCTGGAGAACATGAAAATGTTTTTGGAGCAATTTATAGTCCTTTGGGGCATGTGAGGGGAGTTTGAGGTGATTCCTAACTCTAATCCAAGGCAGACGATATAAGAGACACCACCATAGAGGTCTAAAGTGCACAAGAATAATAAAAATATGGAGCTATGGGCACCAAATGAGGGCAAAAGTGCATCCTCTTGGGGCTCTCTGGAAAACCTGATGGAGATAGTGAAATTTGAGAAGACCCGAAGAACTAGTAAAATGTAACTGGAGCCGTGGGATGGAGTGACTGACGAGGATGTCGTGATGAAAGTACAGAGGGGTCAGAATGCGGCACAGGTATAGGGTAGGTGAAAGGAACACTTTCATCCATGCCGTAAAGCAAAGCACAATGTCCCCAAAGTATTAACGCAATCCAGCGAATGGCGGGATTGAGAAGGGAGACCGGTCCAGCAACCTTGGGTCTTCATACTGATTCCATAAGCTTCTTGGTTCATTTAACCAGACTGCATCCTGGAGGCCAGCAGAGGTCACACCTCATTCCTCATTAGCCTCCCTCCCTCCCTCTGCCTTCTACCCACACACACACACACCCCCCACAACGTACAAAAGACTGCCTGATACCAAGGCCTCCATGTCTCCAGCCTTCAATATTTACCCACTAACTGGCTTTACAAACACACAAACCTTTAATAATCCCTGTCTGTTTCCCAAGAACACAGGGTTTTCTGAGCACAGATGGCTAAACTTTATAACTAGCTGTTATAAGTAATTGTCCCTGTATTTTCCCAAGACATATGTATATATGGAGAATGGCAATCGGTGTGCCACAATATTAACTTATGTATTTTTATTTCTGTATCTAACTAAAACTAAAAATAAATTTCAGCATCACTTCTATAAATTTTACAGTTAAATTTGTAGTATTTGTACATTCTTAAAATCCTAATTTTTAGGCTATATTATATTCTGGCCCCTTGATTCTATAATTCCTTAGAACTGAGTTTAAATACAGTGCTCTACATTGTCCTTTCTTATAGATGTGTGATTAAACATTTCTGAACATTCTTGAAGAGAAATAAGTTTTCTATCTAAATCAAATTATATTTTCTGTCTCCAATAAAACTATTTTAATTATATAAATATTTTAAGGAGCCAATTTTTACTTGTTTATTTACTGCTCAAGTAGGATTATCTCCAGTGAGACAAATTCAAATGATAATAAGACAGTAAATATTTAAATGTGAATATAAATAATTCTATAGTAGCAGGTCTACAGCTAGGAACTTATTAATTTTTTCCCATTATTCATTGCTTCCAAAATTGAAGTTTCTATTAGAAGTGATCATTAAATTTAACAACAGAGGCAAGTTATAAAATACAACTTATTTTACTCACTGTTTCAAAACCTCGATGTGGGTGATCAGGAAATCCGCCTGGTCTACCACCTTTAAATTCATCAAACAGTAAAAATGGATCCAGATTTTTTAACTGAAATAAAAATAAATTCAGCAGATTAGACATGCCTTTTAAGCCACACCACTAGGGGCTACATTCAGAACAGATCAAGCAAAACTTACTGAAAACTGCATAACCAAGCGACTAACTTTTTGCAATTAAAATTGCTTACAGAAAAGAACTTCTAACACAGATGTACAGATGTGCCTATGGAAGCACACACAGACACAGATTGAAGTTAGAGTTGACATTTTATGAGAAGCGCAAAGACTGAACCAATACTTTACGAGCACATAAGACCTAAATAATTAAGCACAAGCAAGAGACAGACTATATTCAAAACAGATTTATAACCTCATGGGAGAATAGACTAGAAAAATCAACTCTTGCACTGTGATTATAAATGCTCTGCAGGAAGACCACTTAACACAAATGAGACAGGAGTCAGATCGTGGAAGGTTCTACCAGGGAGGTGTCACTTGAGCTGGCTCTTGAAGTAGACCTAGAAGTGAATCAGATAGAAGCGGGGGGTGCGGGAGATTTCCAAGTAAAGTAGCAGAGAAACAGCTTGGTAAACTTGAAGAACTGCAAAGAAACTGCTCTAATTGGGGTAAAAGATCCACATGGAATTATGATGAAGATAGAGGCCAATCTTAAGAAGACTGGGTTTTAATCAGAGGTTGATAGGACAAGATGATATGACAAGTTCATTTTGAACTCTTGCCATTTGGGACAGCATAGATAGAACTGGAGGAGATCATACTAAGCGAAATAAGTGAGAAGGAGAAAGACAAATACTGGGTGACGTCACTTACACGTGGAATATAGAGAAACAAAACAAGGGGTCAGTCAAAATCAAACCAGAATAAACCCCAGAAATCTGTAAAATGAAGGTCACCAGAAGGTGTAGCAAAGGGTGAAAACTAAAGGGTGGAGGGGTCCAATGGACTATGGGTGCCATGGTGGGTGGTGACACATCGGAAGAGGCATGATCCACTTAACATGGACTCCAGAGTCTATGAGATGTTTCCCGGAGACAAAGCCTTGGTGCAGAAAGTTTGCGATGCAACCGCCTTGAAGTCAGACTGACGCTTTCCTTTTCTGCTGAGTGGAGGATGAGGGGACCACCTTTCTGGCAAGTGGTGAAGAGTGCTAAAAATTAGCAACACTAGCTAAATGGTCAAAAGTAGGATCATGTGAAAGAATAACAGTATGCCCATACAGGGCCTCCCCCTGGTGGCAGGGGCTACATTCAGAACAGATCAAGCAAAGCTTACTGAAAACTGCATAACCAAGCGACTAACTTTTTGCAATTAAAATTGCTTACAGAAAAGAACTTCTAACACAGATGTACAGATGTGCCTATGGAAGCACACACAGACACAGATTGAAGTTAGAGTTGACATTTTACGAGAAGCGCAAAGACTGAACCAATACTTTACGAGCACATAAGACCTAAATAATCAAGCACAAGCAAGAGACAGACTATATTCAAAACAGATTTATAACCTCATGGGAGAATAACCTCATGGCGCAGGCAGTTGAGCACTGCGCTGTGAAGCTGTCTGCAGCCTGGTTTGATCCCCACGGCCGGCGAGGGTCCCACATGGCATGGCAGACCTCTCCTGTCGTGCCCTCTGCCTGTTCTGGTCCCTGCTCTGTCTCTGGTGAATCTTCTCACCCTCCCGCACATCTGGCCTGTACCCCGGTTCTTGTATAAATAAATAAATAAAATCTTTTTTAAAAAAAAAAAGTATGCCCATACAAAAGACCATGTCACAGCTATTTTAAGAGATGTCAACATCATGGGAGGTGTTTACGCTAGCTACCGTGTTAAGTGGCGGTAAAAGGAAATAAAGTTGTTTAGTCTGTAAAATTCCATGATGTAAAATTATTCAAAATTGTACAGAGGATACATCCTCTGTCTGACCAAGAAACCTGGGGAGATTGCATTAGGGAGCACAGCTCTTCACTTTTTCTTAGGGTAGAGATACAGCTGGGTCATGGCAGCTCCTGTGAATCAAGAGATAGTGGGATCTTTAAAGCACAGGTTTTTAGCTGGAGACTCAACTGGACACCATGCATAGGATTCAGTGTGGCTGCAAACTTGGGTAGGAAAAAAATGACTCCTTTATTTTCACTAGCTTCTAAATGAAAATGTTTTTTAAGGTGGATTTTTCAGTAGTAAAATATAACATGAAATTTACCACCTTGGCCATTTGGAAGCACACAGCCAAGAGGCATGAAGCACACTCACGCTGGGGAGCTACTTCACCACTTCCTCCCCAGACAGAAACTGAACATTAACAACTGGACAGAGTCAAGGAAGCAGCTCTGATGGGAACCTCTGTTCCCATCAGACATCAAAGCTGTTTTCATATGTGATCACAGTGGTTGTGGACATCTTAAACTACTGTCCATGTGCCTCTGAAATGAGGTAGGTATGAAAACTGCCACTGAGTCTCGTTATTTTATGTAAAGGGACTGGAGTGGGAATTTTAAAAAACATTCTTGCTAACCATATTTCAATGAAAAGTTTTCCTTTGTAATACTATGTGTTTCGTATCATGCACTTCGAACCATTCTTCTAAGAAGGAATCGATAGGTGTCACCAGACCACCAAAGGGGGGCACAAGACAAAGAAGTATTAAGAACCCCCTCCAGCACATGTGTGCCTGACAGATGGCGTAATTAAAGTATTAGCTGCACACAACATGCCATAATGGGTTTGCCAACGGTGTCAGGATTCTTTACAGTTATTTGTTTGGTCAGTGATACGGCCCTAGAATATGACACTGGACCATCTGCATCTCCCAGCACCCCCTGGGCATCTGGCCACTAGGTTAGGCCTGGTTGTGAGCATCCTTTGGAAAACCAAACTTGATGGACCCAAGACATTTGCAGGTGAATAGGAAGCCATTGGCAGAAGGGTACAAGAATCAGAGCAGCTTTTAAGAAGAGGGACAAACTAACCTCACTTTTCAAAAAGAATCCTCTTCCCTAATATATAATACATCTTCCTTTGTTCAAAAATATGTTTAGAAGATGCTCCACATGATTAATCATCAGGGAAACACAAATCAAAACCACAGTGAGCTATCAGCTCACACCTGTTAAAATGGCTCTCCTGGGCCTCCCCTGGTGGCACAGTGGTTAAGCGCTGGGTTGCGAGGCTGCCCGCAGCCTCTGCAGCGCAAGTTCAATCCCTGGCCACCGGTGAGGGTCCCACAAAAAAAAAAAAAAAAAAAGGCTCTTCTCAGAAAGACAGGAGAGAACAAGTACTGGCAAGGAGGTGGAGAGCAGGGAACCCTGGTGCCAGTCAGAGGGAATATGAATTGGTGCAGTCTCTATGGAAAACAAGATGGCACTTTCTCAAGAAATTAAAAATAGAGCTACCATCTAACCCAGCAATTCCACTTCTGGGTATTTATCCAAAGAAAACAAAACCACTAACTCAAAAAGACCTGCACCCCCCATGTTCACTGCAGTATTAACAGTCAACGTAGGGAAGCACCATATGGAACTCTCCGTCGATGAAGAACCAGAGAAAACGGGCAACATTTTATACAACGGAATATTACTCAGCCATAAAAAAGGAAATCTGAGTTTGCAACCACATGGATGGATGAACTTCGAGAGCGTTATGCTAAGTGAAACAAGTCAGACTGAGAAAGACAAATACCATAATGATTTCACTTATATGTGGAATCAAAACAAGTTCACAGATACAGAAACAGATTACTAGAGGTGGGGGGTAGATGAAGGGGGTCAAAAGGTATAAATTTCCAGTTATAAAATAAATACATCCTAGGGATAGAATGTACAGCATGGGCACTATAATAACACTGTAACATATATTTGAAAGTAGATGGTAAAAGTTCTCATCAGGAGAAAAAACTGTAATTATGTGCTGATGGATGATAATTAGACTTATTGCCATCATTCTGCAATCTATAGCTACCAAGTCATTACATGGTACAGCTGGAGTGCATTCTATGTCAACGATACCTACATACATACAGAATCCCACCTGGTGCTGGGTGCAGCGTTCTCTGGCAGGATCACCATTTGATACCTTGCTGTACACATAAGATTTGTCTGCAAGTGCCACGTCTTCCGTAGGTCAGGTGACTACCTAACATACTGAGAGCTGCCCCCCAGTTCCTGCCACCATCACCACCACAAGAGGCCCACAGACTTGGGCCTCCATGGTCTCTGTGAACACAGACACCTGGGTATGGCTGACTCACCACAGTAGAGAATTTGCCCCGGCCTAGCCCGTCTCCTGGTAATTTGGAAATGGGATTTGGGGTTCCTCTTTGGCGATTTGAACTGAGGGCATGTAAGCTGGTGGGGGGGGCTGAAGCTGACAGGGGCAGAGATGCTTCCTGAAGCTCAGTTGTCCCTTCGCCCCAGACCCTCCACCTCCAGCTGACAGAAATTCCCTTTGGGCTAGGGCAGATTCACGGGCCATGCCAACTGTTAAGCCTAGAGTTGGCCTCTGTGCCCACAGGCGGATCACAAATATCTCAGGCTCTCTCTTCCCAAGTGATCCCTCAGTGTCCCACCGGTGCCTTGCACACAAAAAGCCCGAACCACCACCCAGCCAGCATACCTCAGGCCTGCCGATGCTCCTGCGGACCCGTGCTCCAACCCCTTCCGCCTGCTCTCGGCTGAGCACTGAGAGGGTAACCTTCTTGGAAGATGCCATGTTGATGGCAGCAAAGAAGAATGTCCTGAGGCTGCGCTGGAGAGGCTGGAGGCTGAAGGAACACAAGGAAATAGGAGGTGTCACACAGGAGGGAATACTCAAGGAGCACAAACTAACATGGTAAAAGCAGACTTGCCAAAATACACATGGCCTCCATTTATCAAGTTCTTACTACAGACGAGGTGTGAATGAGGTGACTGGAAACTTCCGACCCACATGTCAGCAGGTCCAGCTTCACTAGCTGTTGGACACTAAGAGCCTCCAGAAACCCATCCCAGAGCTGCCTCCTAACACAGGTGGTACCAGAAACACTGAGAGATGTGGGTGGCGACCAGGGAACGCAGAGAAACACCCAGAGGTCTATGACTCTCACCACAATACACAGAAGACGTTGGCATTGAAAGGGATCTTAGAGGGTCATCAAATTCAGCCCCACCTATCTCCGAAGTTCAGGGCTTTCTCATGAAGTCTAGAGGGCCCAGGAAACTTCTGGAATAGATGCCCTTAACAATGCATGCTGTATTACAGGACCCATCTATGCCCTGGGTAGATTATTCAAAAGTGCCTCTTCTTTGCAGGTCTAAGTTCTATTCAGTGGAATATTGCAGGGGAGTATAACCAACCCCTTTGCACTTCAAATGCTTGCAGACAGTGCCCCCCATTCCTGCAGCTCTTCTTTAAGTGAAATAGAATCCATTCTTCAAAGATTCCTACTCAAACCAAGAGATGTTTTAGCCAGAAGCAGAGACTCGAGCCAGGCAACTTGGGTTTGCATCTGGCTTCACCACCTAGCAAGCAGCTGTGTGCCCTGAGCTGCGTGACCACATGCTAAGCATCTCTGTTCCCAGGTTTTCCCCTCTGTAAAACAGAGGTAATGACAGCGCCTACCTCAGAGAGCAGTGCCGGCCCAGAGCATGCTACATGCTGTTAACTCAGGGGGGCCCGATGCCAGTGCCCAGCAGTGAGTCTGGGCCCAGCCCGAAAGGCCCTACCAGGGCAGGTATCAATATAGTTACTGGGTGCTGGGCTGTGGCGCGCACAAACTCGCTTCATCCTCGGGGCTGTCCAGAACTGTCATCAGCTGTGCAGAAGCAAATGGAAAGTACGGGACCCACACCTGGCCTATTTCTGGGTCCTTCCAGAAGCCTACAACTCTACACACGCGAACAGTGCTGAGGTACTTACCAGCGTGCTTGCAGAAGTCGAGCCACTTCCACGGTTGACTCGCGTGCAGAGTATTATTTAAGCATCCCTGGTCCCCTCCCCAGGAGTCGCGTGCAGCCGGGAAGGCGGGATCCTCCCCGATCTCCCCCCCCAACCTCGTCCCGCCCCGCCCCGCCCCCCCACGGGGCTGCCGGGTACTCACCGGGAGGCCGCTGGCCGGCGAGGGCCCGGCGCAGCTGGCGTCGCGGCGGCGGGAGGGGGGTCGCCCAGGGGCGGGCGCGAGGCCGCGGGGTGGGCGGGGCCGGCGAGGGGGGCGGGCCCGCTGGGAGGCGCGGGGGGCGCGCAGTCGGCGGGGGCGCGCGTCGTGCTGCCTCACTGTGACTCAGCGTTTCTCCACCGGCGCCGCGGGGAGCGGGCTGGGAATCTCTGGGTCTCCTGGCCCTGGGCGGGGCGACACTCTTCTAGGGACGCTTCGGTCGTGTTTTCTGGCTCGCCCTCCCCCGCCCACTCTGCTGCCTTTGGACCTCTGCGCGCCCCGATATTTGGGGGCTCACTGAACCCTGAGGAGGGTATGGGGGCCAAACTCGGGCTCTGATCTGGGCGAGGGTCCTAACTCGACGCCCTGGGAAGCCCGCCTTTTTTGAACAGGAGTGGGCTTGCCTGTTGCACTGCTGTGTGACTGGGCAGGAGGCTCAGCCTCCCTGTGCCGCTGGTCCCTCCACATTAAAACAGGGATGCTGCTGATGGTAGGATCCCCAAGGTCGTAGTGAGAATTCCGGGAGCCTGGCGCGCCCTAAACACTATGCAATTGCTGGTTACATAAATAAGCTACCTGCTGTTGCCACTTAAAATTTGGGGGTCGGGGGCATTAGGGAGTTTTCCCAGGGAGACGGACTTACAGAAGACAGTGGGCACTTTGGTTCACTGCTCAGATTCTTCACTAGGACTACAGCCCTTGCTGCAGGTTTCTGTTCTCCAAACACTGTGAAGCTTATTGTGTAGTTTTGGGGAAAGGAAAGGGAAGTGGCGTCTCTGAAACAGGGGTCTGCAAACCAGAGAGGGCCAAACAGTAGATATTCTGCATTGTGCAGGCCTCATTTCTCCGAGACTGTGCCATCTGGCCTTTACAGCAGCAAAAACCCCCAGAGAAAAGTAAATAAATAGGCGTGGCCGTGTCCATAAAACCTCAATTGGGTGATACTAAAGTTTGAGTTTCATCTCATTCTCACCACAAAATATTAGTCTTCCTTTGAGTTTTTATTTCAACCACTTAAAGATCTAAAACCCCTGCAAAGCTCTCTGGTTGTAAAAAGTAAATTGTAGCCCAGATGTGGCTGCCAACCAGGTTTGCACCCCATCTACTCTAGAAGAGCAAGACCTTTCCCCTGGGTCCTCGTGTATCCCCGCCTTACTCAGATGATTCTAGACTAGATCTTTCAAAGCTCCATGAAATAACAAGCGATTGTGGGTTTGTCATCATCCTTACACTTGTTTCTGCAGCTGCCTCCAAATACAATAGCAACGTGGGCTCGCCGCCTGGCAGTTCACAACCCTTAGCTAATGCTTCTGCAATCCCTGCCGGAAAGTTTAATGCTCAGCCAATTGCCTAAGCCAGGAAATACGAGCCTCTCCCACATCCTCGCCCCAACTCTTCCACCTTGAAATCCTGTGGGTTCTGCTCCAACTATCTCCTAAATCCATCCAGTCCTTCCTGTTTTCACGGCCACCATCCACCTCTACAGCCACCTTCAGGCCTGCCACAGGCCGGGGTTCTCTGGGTCAGATGAAGATGGAGTGACAACTGCCTCAAACCTTCATTGTCCTGCAGAGAAAGTCTCATGGTGTGTTTAACCCCTCTTCACCCTCAACATGCCAATTCAAGCACACACACACACCTTTTCTTTCCAACATAAGAACTTCAGACCCTGGAATGTGCTTTCTCCCTCTGGTTGGTTTCCTGGGCCTGGGCCTGGAACTTCTTCTGTCCCTGATCTGACTTATCCACATTCTCCTTCCAGCTCTTGGTTTCCCTGTCTCTCCCTCTGGGAAACTTTTCCTGTCTATCCTCTGGGGCCTGGGTGACATGTTCGGTGTGGCCATCATCACGTCTGCATGTGGCGAGCTGCATCATGGTTCAGCGTTCTTCAGCAGATTCTATTTTCCGAGGCTGATGCCAACAACAGCATCTCCCACACAGGCTTCTCCTGTGGTGTGGCCTTGACACCCCTGCTCCAAAATGGAGCTCACTTCTCTTCCTCTTGCGTCTAGGCTGGGCTTGCAGCTACCTTGACCAACGCAACACGGGGAAGTGACACTGTGCCAATTCTGGGCGTGGCTCTGAAATGGCCTGGCAGCTTCTGCTTCCTGCCTCTTGAAAGCCAGCTGTGACCCCAAGACCACCCATCTGGGGAGTGCCTAGGCCACATGGAGGAGAGAGCTTGAGAGAAGGAGACTTGTACAGAAAGAGCCTGAGGCCAAGGACCCTCAGGCACCAGAAATGGAGACAAAGAAACCCTCTTGCAAGTGAGTCCCCTAGCCAGGCCTCCCGGATAAGATGTGAACACCCAACCACTCCTTCCCGACTTCCTGACCCACCGAATTGTGAGCAAATAAAAAATGGTTGTTTTAAGCGACTCAGTTTCCTGGTAGTTTGTTTTCTGGAAAAAAAAAAAAAAAGATAACTGGAACAGATGCTTTTATGTAAGAGGAGAGAAGGGGTGGGTTTTCAAAGTTCTCTGGGCCAACGAAAAATTCTTATACATCTTTCCTTTCAGAGCATGGCTGCGTCCATTTAAATGTTCCCTCCCAGGCAACCAGCCATCCAGCAAAACTGACAATTATTAAATTTGATTCGAGAAAGGAAACGTGTCCTGCTGGCCATAGCAGTAACTCCCTAGTCAGGGGTTCTGAAAGGCACCTCTGTTTCCAGTAGCATTACAAGGGCAACTTCATCATCATCATCATCATCATAATAATAATAATAAAAACAGAGAGAATGGCTTTGCTGCACATTTTTGCTCATTTCTATACAGATTCCTATACTTTGGGGGATGTTTTCAGTCTAAAAGCCTTTCAAAGATTCTCCTGGGGCTCAGAATCCCCTCCGCTTCTGAAACTATAGCAGGAATTGAGCGAGAGCTGACCTGCCTTCTTGTCTTCCAGAAGGGGGGGCAGGGAGAAGCTAAGTTCAAGGGTGTGCATTGTCTGGGCGAGGCAGGGAATTCTATTTGCCGGCCTCAAAGGAGGAAAAAGAAAGGTGGGAGAACTTTTAGAAATGAAATATGGGGCATGTAATGTGTTGCCATACCGGGATCCACTGCTGGCATGAGAAATATGAGCTGGCACGTGGAGCCGTAAGCACTTTTCACACTGTTACTTGCCATCCAGATGGAGATGTCCAACAGAAAACTGGATTGTGAGTGTGTAGACACGCCATCGATCATCTGAATCATGGGAAATGTAAGGAAAATTCCACACTAAGATGGCCATGAAGAGCTTCTTCCCTAAATGAGTCCAAATAACACCATAATTATCTTTACAGACACCCACTTTATTGACATATTTTACTTGGCCTTTTTTTCCTTTTTTACTCAAAATCTTCAGTTTCCTCTTCTTTATGACTTAGTGACTTTCTTCTCAAAGTTACATTTTTTGAAATATATAGACATCTTATATATTTCATCATTTGCATTTTTGTTCGAGTCGCCAACTCAAAAAATTCTTTCTTGCCGATTGCTCAGGTTTTCGTAACTTGCCTCCCAGGACACTGTAGGTGCTTTTCATGAAATGACAGATATATCTAGAATATTCCATATTAGGGATTCAGCCGCTGAATCCAGGACATCAATTGGCTCCGAGTCAGGGACTACTTACTTGATAAGCATTACTTTATGAGGGGGGCCGGTGGGTGAGGATATCTAAATATAGCCAGAAAAGATGGGTTTACATGACTCCCAGTTCCATCCCCACTGACTGAGCAATCTGCACAGACCTGGCCTGTTCCATCAACGGGGGTCCTCACCCAGATGCTGCTTGTGATCCACTCTTGCATAAAACTCACAACTATGTCCCTCTCTCTGTTTCCCCTGGGACGGGGACTGGGGGAAGTTTGAGGGGTCAGTGCCAGAAAAGAGCAGCCTGCTACCCTGTTAACCGTTCTCAGTCTTCAGCTTTTGTAGAGGTTGGGTCTTCCGGTCTAAGTGAAGGTTGCTTTCAAGATCACTGTATTGGAGTTAAAAGAAAAGGCTTGTTCGACTTTAAGTCTAGTTACTGTTACGTACACTGAGGTGTTTATGGGATATAGTGTCCTGATATCTGCAACTCACTCTGAAGGCACCAAAAATTAACAAACACAGCAGTAGTTGTAGTAACACCACCAGGGTAGATTGATGGATGGCTAGAGAAATGGATAAAGCGCTAGATGAATGACAAAGCAATTATAGTAACAAATAATCGTAGGAACTAGCTGAGGGTATCCGGGTGCTCACCATACAATTGTTTTAACTTTCCCGTTGATGATTTTCATAATAAAATTTTGACAAAATAAAAAACTTTGATTTTGGAGGGATTCTATAAAGGTACCTTCTTTGCTTGTTTTCTTTGCTTCCGATTCTGGCTCCTTATATACAGTGCAAGCCAGCGGACATCTGCTGAACTGAGCGGTTGAACTAAATTCCACGCTGGCAGGATTATTGTAGAGTATGAGCTGGCAAATGCATTCTGTGAAGGGTAGATAGTAAATATTGGAGGCTTTGCAGACATTCAGTCTCAGTCAAAACGACCCAGCTGTACCAGTGTGAGGCAAAAGCAGCCACACACCACATATAAATAAGCAGGCACAACTGTCGCGATCAAGTGATTCACCAAAACGGTGGTGGTCATAGTTTGCCAACCTATACCCCAAATCCTTATCTTTAACTAAAATAATGGGAGTAAAATGGATTGAGTGCCAACAGATTATGAAACAATTTCCCAAGTCTCAGTAAACTTGTCAGGTCCCCCACCATTCCCACTCACCCAGCCTCTTCATAAAGAACAAGGTGGTTTGTGCTACCTTTGGCCTGAGGTCTAGCCCGCCCACATCCTCACGAGAGCTGAGCCATTCATGTCTGATGCCAGTGAGTATAGGCTG